ATTATCGACTAAAGTAGTTGGTGTTGAGACATTTTTTTCCGCCCTGCATTTCTGTTGTTGCATTTCATATTTCTAGCCTCTGGCAAGAGATTTGAGTCTTGATTTAAAGTTGAAGATGTGGTGCGATGAGCCTATTGGCTCTTCAATTCTCATTTCATTCAAGCAAATATTATTATGTGATATGAATTTGTCTGTTTTAAATATTTCGAGTGCTCAGAGGCAATCACCTTTTTGTTACCTAGGAGTTTTTTCAAAGCTGGGCTTCAATGGCTGCTCAGTCTTTCCTTGCTAAACTACCACCCTCTTTCGGCTTTTTTATAAAGCATTAGTACATGCAAGTCCTCATTGATAATTCTTTTACGCAGTTGCCACCGTCTCGCTGGTTCAGTCTAGGTGCTCCCCTGATCTAAATAGGTCAGGGATTGCCTGGGGTGAAACCCTGTTGGCAATGTTGTTCAGTTTGGAAAATTTCTCGCCTGTACAGCTTGTAAAAGGGAAAGAAGCCCTGCACCTGGATCACATCTTTGGCGTCGGATATCATCAAGACCAGTGACAGGTTGCAGAGGACGCCATAGATCTCGGACCGAAAAGACACGTCAACCCACCATGGAGATTGTCTCAACGGCAGATCTTCACGCCTTTCTCGAAACTGCAGGGCACATCAATATCACGTAATCGGCTTACATTAAGGGAAGTTCAGGAAGACGGATGGGAGGCGGCAGAGTGGTGGCACACTCATCATTCGTGGCGAGAGAGTTCCACAGGAATTAGATGAACCGTCTTGTTAGGCTCTGAACGACTTTTTCATGGCAATTTCATCTTCATGGGGAAAGAACATTGAAGTCGCTCAGCGGTACGACTCCAGAGGTCACCTCATTCTTACTATCCGAAGGAGGTGCATACTGGAAGTCTCAGTGATATTCATCCTTCAGCAATGATTCGGATCACCGCCTCTTTGGAACAAAAGTGCGATTCAGCGAAAGCTGGAAAAGCAGAAAGAAGAACGATGGCGATTGGAGGAGCTTTTGACCACTTGTGACTGAGGGATCCAACGAAGAATTACGGCCCGCTTCTCAGAGGACTGAAAGCATTTGATGAAATTGCTTCAATCCCCTGAACAGGTAGTTTGGAGCGAATTTGAAAAATATCAAGGATCTGCTTGAGAAGAGGAGAACAATGAGGTAGGAACTAACCTTCACAATTAAGTAGAAGTCTGAAGTAGGGACGGGACCTTCTTGACTACCGTATTCTGCTGACAATATTATTAAACGAAACTTAAGCAGCGCAAAGAAGGAGAAGTCCAAATACAGCTGGAATCTTTTCGACTACTACCTCGCTGACCATTACTAAAGAAAAAGGGACCCGCACATCTTGATAGAAGGTGGAATCGATCGTGAAGAGATTCTACGACAATTTCTTCCATCATCAACGCCCTCGTGTCAAACCCCGTCATCCCCACTGGACAATTACCACGTCGGCTAAGGGGTGGACCTATTTGTTCGAGGACATTGACCGACTGCTGGATTTGCTCTACAGCGGTACAGCTTTTTCATCGCTCCCTTCGCATACCAATTTCAAAGGGTTCCGAAAAGGCGATACCGCATCGCCAAAACTGCTTACCGCAGCCTTGCAGTGCGTG